TAAAAAGCACCGAACGTAATGTAAAAAGCACCGAACGTAATGTAAAAAGCACCGAACGTAATGTAAAAGCACCGAACGTAATGTTAAAAGGGCCGAATAACAAATGCGCCGAACGGAAAAGAGCCACCAAAGGCAGTAACGGCTTTCCATATGGGAGAGGAGTATCACACGGCGGAGAGCAAATAATTAATCGAGAGAGAGAAAATCGATACCATCATACATACAGGTGAAGAAGGGTATTGTCTTTCTTAGAAGATGGTGCTAGAATAGGCTCAGGTATTTCTCCATTTCTTCCCTTCTCTTTATTTACTTGTGAAAGATCGTATTGCGGCCAGGCTTAGGTTAAAACGCAAATATGTCCGTATGTTGGACCTACATTATAATAACAACTCCCTGCTTTAAAATGTCTACCTTGGCCTAGGCCCTACCTTACCTTTCCCTGCTGTCTGTGGCTTTATTTATAGGGCTTTCTCCTGACCAAATCAGTGAAGCAGCAGCAAGGTGTCAATTAAGGCCTGCGCCAGTGTAGACCACCTAGGGTCTACTTGGATAGACCCCAGACAAGCAAGGCCTGTGCGGGGAATAATAATATATCCTCGGCAAAAAAGATTAAGCTGGGCACTCACTGCGTTGTACGACAGTCTGAGTCTGCCGGCGTATCCAGGACCAATTCCACTATCCGTTGCATTAAGGCTAAATCAGACAGCGTCGTACGACCCAGCCTGGCACGATTTGTTGTCGCGTCGGGTCTGTGTGAGTTAAATGTAGACACAATGTTCTGCGTCGTGGGAAGTTGCGTCGTAGAATATTAAACATGTTTAATATTTCTCACAATGGCGTAAGACTGTCCCCGACGATAAATCGTGTCGGGCTGCGTCGTACGACGCTGTCTGATTTAGCCTTTAGGCAACGCACCACCACCTGACTGTTTAACATTAGGCGAATTTATTTACGCGAATCAAAAGCGTCGGTTCACTTCCTGAGCTCTGATTGATTGCGCATTTTTTCACTTCTCAAAAAGTACAATTCGGACTACTGATTTTGCTGAAGCGAAAAACTTGGACAGAAATGTGAATGCGCATGAACCTAATCAACACACCTAAATGCGTTGGACCTTCTATTCATCAAAACCATACGGGACCTTATTTTTATACATAGTCCCCCTGACCGTTGTTTGCAGCATGTAGGTGTGCAGTAGTACATTATGTACTGCACCATTAAATGTAGAATAACATCAAGGAAATTACTATAACATAAGGGCACGTAGAAAATTTCTTAAATTATCACTCCCGTCCGCATCAAAAATTTGGGAAATGTTGATGCGGGAATAAAAAAAAATTTTTTACCACACCATTTATTTCAACAGCTTAAAAATTCGTGACTGGAAATACACTTTAAAAAACAATATTAATATTAAACCAGTTTTTATACAATATTTACAGTATTTTTGCCAAATAAAAACAGTGTTTAAAAACAATGTTTAAAAAAAAACACTCGCCCTCCTTATGCCAGTATGTGTAACGTTATTATTACCGCAATATTGCCAGAGCCTCTGTCTGAAAACAGCTTTAGTTGTCTTGGTTTGGTGTATTTTGATGAATTTTTAATATCAGTCACTATTAAATATATTAAGAATATTTTAGAATGTTGTAAGAAGAAGAATGAATTTATTATAACATTTAATCCCTGTATGTAATATCAAATATACTGTAGATAAAACAGTCAAATGTTTTATACTTTGTATGTCAGATGTCATTGCTATACATTTATTTAAAAACAACTCTCTACTCTGTCCAGATGGTTGTATCGCAGGTAATTATAATGTGGTTATTGAATTTTATTGGTACTGTATAATTATAAAAACACTTGCATCCAAAAATAATCTTTCAAATTTGTTAACTGGAAGTATGCAGATTCCAGCCTCAGATGTTCAGATAAATTTGTGATCAGTGCATGGAGTTATAATTATTTTGATTAATTTTATAACTCCATGATCAGTGTTGCACTTGCTTCCTCACCAGCTCCATCTTGTTAGACAGTGTAATCATGGAGGAAATATTTCCTCCATGGTGTAATTATATTCTAAATATTGATCCTGACCTATGTGCACTGAAGCTTACAAGAAGCACATTAGCCAATCGGAATGCTAGTTTGTAGCCTTTATTCTGCACAGCTTAAAATGATAAGACTAATTTTCACGGACAATAATGCTATAGACTGTAGTATGCTTCTCTAGACTATGTTGTAGTGTGCCATCTTCTGGGGGTTTACATTAGTTCAGTTAATCTCATTAATCTGTCGGGATTGGTAAGTTTGTATGTTGTAAACAATATTTTATCAGATCAAGATATATTTAACTTGTCATGAATGTTCTTTGTAATCATTTCATTGGTATTTTCTTAACACATGAGATGTATAGTACTTGAAATAATAATATGTTACTTCTCTAACTAATGTAATTTTATTTAAATCAAGATGTGTTTATATCTTTGTTATTATATTATTCCTTGTGGTAGTGGTTGCACTCTCATGTTTGTTGTCAGGGTTTTTTTTTTTTCAACCATATTTATAGATAATGGATAACCCTTCCACCGTATCCTAGAAGGTCAGCTGATATTCAGAGGCTTTAGTCTCTTTATGATGCTTAGGGAGTGGAGTTGATTTTAGTTGTGAGAAAAAGTCCTGCTGTCAGGGAATTGAACCCAGGACCTGGGCTTAGAAAGCAAGCATCTTAACCACTAAGCTATTCAACCCCTTAAAAGAGAACTAGCAAAATTATTTTTTGTTCTAGAGTGGATTTTTGATACCTGTATGCCATTAATAATAGAATCAAACTTAAAATCGTTTTTTGGCTATTTTTTATGAAGTTATAGGCGTTTATATACAATTTTACCATGACGTCACTGGCGAAAAATGTAACAAAAGATCGTGTAAATAGCGCTGTGTAGGGTATTCGCCGTGTACGATCTTTGCGTGCATGCTGTAACAATCACAATTTACAGCCATGGTTACAGCATACACGCAAAGATCATACGTGGCGGATACCCTACGCGGTGCTATTTACACGATCTTTTGTTACTTTTCATTGTTATTAACATCTGCTGTTGATATATCAAACATTTACTATTTTCTAGAGGCATGTTGGATTTATAACCAGTCATCATGAATCTAGAACAGGCCGTCACACCTACGCCCTCTGATAGTCTGCAGTGCACCTACGTAGGCAAGAACACAACAATTTTGTATACGCCGTACGGTGGAATCCCTTTGAATTTAACGCTGAATGTTATCTTTTTTGCGGTAAGAATATCACTGTTTATTTTATTGAGCAAAATTTTCTTTACATACTGTACTTCAAATATCTTTTGCATTTTTTGAGAGGCGCTTATTCAAATGGGGTGCTTATGAAAACGGTGGAAATTGAAGGGGCGTGGAAGTAGAAAAAATTGAGGGGGTGCTTTATGGGATCTTGGGAAATTCAAGGGGCGCTTTTTGAATGAAAATAAAGAACATAGTAACCGAAGATAACTTAGGACATTCAAAAATGAAAGGGGGGGTGTGCTTATTCAAAACGTGGTGCTTAATTAAGAACATTTTTACGTTGGTAGGAGGGTCGCTTTTTCGCGCCAGTACAGCATCTCTATTAATAACCTAATTGTTGATAAAGCATGATGCATAGTATACATCCATAGATAAATATAATAGTATAGTTCACCCCCCAATTCGAGACCACCCTTGGGACCTGAAAATTTGGGGTGGTCTCGGGCTTGGGTCTCCAGTTAGAGGGGCTATCTTTGTGTTATAAGGTTGAAGATTGTTATTTGGGTCCTTGGAAAAGTGGTCTCGAATTGGAGGGCGCACTGTAGTAAGTTAGATTTCTATAGCGCTTTGCACCAGAATAATAGTCAAAGCACTTGAAGCATGGACTAGCTGGTAAGTAAATTCTCCCCTAAAGGTCTGTTTGTATCTGAGCTTCTTGGTAAACTGGTGCCAACTACTCTTGTCTGTCCAAAACAGGGGCTGTATGGACCAGTACACCGGGGTAATCCTCTAATCTTTTTGAAAGATGTACTAGGTTTTTTTATCGTGCACACAAGCCAATTGTGTACACTGGGCCTATGGTTTATAGTCCTTACTTGCAGTTGAAACCTAAGTTCTGCCTCTATACCACTTTCTACAAACCACCAATTTCCAATTTTTTTCTTACAGGTTATTTTGTTATTGTACGCAATTTTCCGAAAATTAGCTGGTGAATATGGACGAATTGCATTAGTACAGCATGGAGAAGAAAGGTAAGCCTATAATTAATGCATTGGGGGTTGTAAAACCATATTGATTTGGGAGATCATAACATTATCATCTCAATAATCTCATCTCCAATTTCACATTGCTCATTGCAAATATGAAATTTCTGAACAACATAGGATGTAATTATTCTTTTTTGTTGTTGAATAAATACAGTAGAACCCCTATTAAGGGTACACCTTCGGGACCAAAAAAAGTGTCCCCTTAATAGGTGTGCCCCCTGAATAGGGGTATCCCTATTCAGGGGACACTAACTAAAAACATAAAATTGACCTCTAATAGTGGTTTTTGGCATGTTTTCATATAATGATGACATACATTCTTTGTAATTTTATTTTTATTGACATAGAATTAGTAGAATAAGAACTAATTTATAGCAATAATTTGCAATGCAAATACAATTCATTTATAATGTGAAATCAGCAGAAATGTAATTAAAACAACAATAGTTAAATATGTTCCCAATATTGTTTCATTATGCAGTGTTAATAACCAAATATTTTTTTTTCCATTAATTGAGCTTTCTATTAAATGATTAAATCATTTCATATGGTTTGAAATAGTATAATGTGATTCATATTTATTTGTGTAATATGTATGTGAAATGTCCTTAAAAGGTAAACAAATACTGGTTTATTTACAAATAACAACAATCACATTAGAGCTTTCTATTAGATGGATGTACTATAGCATGATTAGAGTAATATGTTTTGATGTGGATTAGAATCCTATAAAGTAGGTTTTAAATTTAGAGATTTGTTTTTTTATTTAAATATACTGTAGCTTTATAGAAATATTAGATGTTTGTAAGATTTTTTTTTTGTTTAACTACATGTGTAATTCACACCACTCAAACTAATGGCCCTCTTCAATGATGTTAAAAGTAAGTCTTCCCTATATTCCTAGCTAATAATTGCAAGTTCTTTATTTTAGATTTCTTTTCAGTCACTAAAATATTGGTCCGATCAAGCTGAAATTTAAGATTTTTCTTAGTTACTAAAGTTACACCAAATCCTAAAAATATCTTAACAAAATCTGAAATGGTGACTTCCGTGGCCATGTTGAATTGGCATGAAATGACCGTGTATTAAGGCTGGTTCAAAAAGAGGTTTTTTTTTTCCACACACATCAATTGCATTTTTTGTTGATGGGAAATTTCAATCTTTAACTGCTGGTTTTGGTAATATTCTTAACTTATCTTATTTGAGTCCTCAAGAAAAATTAGTTTTCATGTTTTTCAAAATGTAATTTAAGATTATTTCTGTCTAGTTAACTATAGTTTATTCTTTTCAATTGCTTATTTAAAAGGAGAAAACGGTGAGTAATGTATCTTGATCCTGAAAAAAAAATTTTTCACCAGAATCAGTACGCCACTTTCTCTGAGAGCTTTGCTAAATTTTCAACCTCACAACTCTTTCTAAAAATTATTGCTTTCATGGTTTGCTCTGCATCATTCACGCTTGAAAACTTTCTCTCACATTTGCGTTCACTTTTTTTAGAAAAGATTGTTGAGTTGTGTGTTTTTCATTTTTTCATGAAGAATTAAATTTTGATTGCATGTCTTTTAAAGAATTTTACAAATTATAATCAAGTTGTTATGCTAAACTGCCTCACAAACTGTAAAGTTCTTTTTGAGCTGTGATTATGAGGTGATCATTAAATTATAAGTGTCTCATGAGAAAAGATCTCATGATAAGAGAATGATCATTAGCTTATGATCATAATATAATGTACTTACTTACACACACTAAACAAGATGATCATGAAGTAGTGATCATTAGCTGAGATCATAAAATAATGAGGTGATCATGAGGTAAAAGCTATTATCTGTGATCATGATAATGAGATAATCATGAGATAATATTCATTAATGACAATAAGATAATGAGATTATCAGAAATATATTTTCCGTTTCGGTTATCAATAGAATTGCAGACCCTTTTTCAAAGGGTCTGCAATAGAATGAACATGTAACCTCATGAAGACTCATTGTCTCTAAAGGTGATTGTGAGCTAATCATGAACTAATAATTGCATGAGATAATAAGATATCTTGAGATCCCCAGTTGATCATAATCAAGTGTGATAATAAAATAATAATAATAATAATATTTATTTGGCATTCAAGATATATATTATTTGCCAGGAAAGAGAATACAGTAGGCAATGAGGTGATCAGATGATATTAAATGAGGTCTATATAAGATGACCATTGGATTTTCTTGGATCGTGAGATAAAAATGAGATAATTATGTGATAATGAAATTGAAATGTTCATGATATAATCATGAGGTGACAGAGGGTATATTAAGATGATCACATCTTTGAGATGTCCATGAGATTATCATGGAACATATCGTGAGGTTCTTGGAGGTGATCATGAGATGATCATAATCATCACTTATAAAGTGAAGATGATTATACTGGTAAGACATCCTCAAAAGTACAACACAAATTGATGACAATTGAACTAACCACCTTTATCCAGAATGTTACTTTCCTTGGTTTTACTGATTTTAATGTTTTTTGTACTTGAGCTTGCCTGAATTTATACATTGGACAACATTTCCTCTCATCGTATCACTGAAACCTAAATTGTGGGATCTTGTATTTGTTTACACACAAACGTGAACAAATTATACATTGATATTCTCTGTTATGATTGAAACAGACTGCAAAATTTTTTCACCCCTTGTGATTTCTGGTTAAGTTTCAATTTTTTCTTATTGTTACAAATCTGAGGTTTTAGTACCCTACCTCCTTATTCTGTATGTAACATATTAAATTAATTGTTTTCTGATTTTTTTTTTCACATTTTAGAGCATGGAATTTTGACAATTTTTAACAAATGTTGATTTAATATTAATAAATTAATAATTAATATTTATTTGACTAATATTTTGCTTTTGAAAATCCTGTGGCTGTTCTCCCTTTACACAAACAACAAACATGATCCTTCATTTTGGAACAAAGTTCATTGTCTTTACCGACAATAATCCCCTTGCTCATCTCAATTCAGCTAAGATAGTGATAAATACACATTATTTTGGTTCATGATGTAAAGGAAGTGTAGCAGCATTACAGTAGTCAGATAATTTAATACAACACAAAGGACAATAAAGAAGACTAACCACTTTCAACCAGAATGCCATTTTATTTTCCTTGTTCTACAGGTTTTAATGTTGTTTGTTCTGTACTTGAGTGTGCCTTAGTAAATACACTGGACTAATATTACCTCTCATTATCATAATGCATCTGCTGTATAACATAGCAATTAATGCTTTAGTAGCATTTGCTATTTCAGTTAAACTTGGATTGTGTAATCTTGTATGAAGTGAAGTGATTGAGTATGAAATGCGATCTAGAATTCACATGCATGTAATAATATCCTCCATTTTTTCAAGGTTTTGTTTTTCCATCTTTATAGATATCAGTTATAATTATACTAGTACTGCAAAATAGAAGAATTTTTTTGCTGTTATTTTTTGTACAGATACAACAGTTACTTGGTTTGAATTTCCATTTAAATAAAATCAAAATTGTTATTTCTTTTAAATGTAAACGTTTTATGTAAAGGAAATTCAAATCAAAAAATCTAATGAAAACCGATGACGTTTTTCAATCAGATACAACAGTTATTGTTCATAATATGATTGTTATTAATATTATTCACTGAACATTGTTATGTTATGTGTATCACAATTTTTCGTTTTTAACACGTTGGCTGCCAGGGACGAGTGTACTCGTCAAAATCGGGGTACATTCTAGCGTTTATAACTTCTTTGTTATAAATTGTAGAACCACAGACTCAATGGCTGGTAGTTTGGGGAAGATACACCTAGACGATAACATAGAAACGACGTATGTATGATTGTTGTGTTATGTTGCTGGTAGTACACTCGAGCAGCACAAGTGGGGGCGTCCTTTAAACATATACCAATCCATGCAAAAAGTGGATGAGATAACTCGCACTTGGCATAGTCAATAAAAAGTGCTATCACAGTGCCGTCGATGAGTTTACTCGCCCCCTAATATTTTTCCACCAATTTATTGGACACATCATTTTAATGATATATATGACTAGATAAGATATCAAAAAAGTATGTTTGTACATACTTTTTAAAAAGTCTGGCAGTCAACATGTTAAGTTTATTTCATTAAAAGACTTGGAATAGTAGGATGGTTTCCTTATATTTTGTATGTTTATGTAAATATCTTTAGAGTTTAATGTCAATAAGTATTTATTGTGTTTTTTATTCAGGAAGCCAAAAGAAACATCAAGGTATTTAGTATGGTCATTTAATCCACTGATTGCTATGCTTTTTGCATAACTGTCTACTGTGCACGCGCATAGACAATCATCTATACACACTCACAACACACCCACACACACAAGCATACATTAGATATTACAATTGTATTTATACGTCCTGCAATATCCCTAGAGATCAACATTATAGAGATGGTTCATGATGGCCTTACGACCCCATCAACTGAAGTCCAAAGAGGTTTTTTTTTAAAATTATTATTCTTTATACGTGAAATTTTCATTTACATACATTGCATTTTAATGAATACTTTTAACAGTATAATTTATCTTCAAATACAACTTTTAAAGATATTCGGTGGATCCAGAGGGGTTCAGGGAGTTCTCTGTGAATAAACTAAACAAAATTAAATACTACTTGGTTCTGGCTTACAAAAGGCATGCTAACCTACCTACAGTAGGCAGGTTGGCAGATCGGACAAACTAGGCTTAGCTCAACTATTGTAGCCTTCAATATTAATAAAATTAAAAACATGGTTTTTGGTTCGACGACGGAATAATTTATGTATGAAAGTGCGTTTATCGATCCATGGAAGAAAGACTACATCTCCAACTATTCAATATTTTTGGAATATAATAATATGTTACCTATGTCTTTGATTTTTTTTTTCCTCTATGGGAAAACCTTGAATTTTGAGAAACTTAAAGGTCATTAAAGACACCTCAAAAGTCGGGAAAGCTTATTTCTGGCCATTTAGGAATCAAAATTTTCCGGCTGAGGACCCTGTTTCTTTTTGGGGTTTTTAAGAAATATTTTTAACCACTCCCTCCCCCCTTCCCCCCTTTTTTTTTTTTCAAATCCTGGATTTGCCCCTAAATATCTGTTAGGGATCTTTGAGAGGTGAAATATACAGTACTGTTTACAAAGTATACATAAGCATATAAACACTCATGGAAACATGTATTAGCACATAACCATCCATAGACAAACGTTTTTTACCGTAGATTACATCATTGCACTCTGATTTCATTTTTACAATAGAAGATTTGAATTTGACTGCTCTTTGCATGTACCGAGAGGAACTACTTGAAACATTTACCCACTTTGTTTAAAGTGAGCAATGTTTTCTTTTCCATACCTAATGAGGATGACATTTAAGAAATACTAGAGTGCTAAATTTGAGCACCTTTTAATTCATCAGTCTTCAAACCCATGCTGTTTTCATTTGTCATTTACCATCTCACTCTTGCTACTCTGTGCATTAGATGATTGACTATCAAACCTTAAGCATGAATGATTTTAATGGATGCATTTTAAATATTTTCTGTCTTGTAAAATCTTGAAAAATTGGTTTTAAACGTTCAAATGCACATTTGCAAGGACCAAATGGGACATTTTCCGATCAGATACAGGGCTTTTTTAATACAAATCAGTTTCATTAAACAAAATGTTTTTAATTCTCTGCTAGTCAATTTACGGGTTTATGCAGTGAGAGTAGAAACAGTATGTCTGTCTATTACTTTTCAGACAATTATTTGTTATTCTAATTTAAAACGTCTTTCTTAATTATTAATTTTTAAAGCAAATTATGCTACATTATCATTGTCAATTATTCTATTGTATTGAAGTAATCTATTTAATAGATATTGATGGAAGCTCGAAAAATTGAAAACCCTTATATGTGAAAACATTTTAATATGTTTTTTATGGGTTGTTACTGTCATCAGATTCTATCTAAACCATTTTTATTAGCATTCTACAACAAAAATTGTCTGTACAGTACTTATATCTTTCTATTATGTTTGAGTAGACTACTGGGCATTTAACTGTTCTATAATGTGATCATTTTTTTAACTTTCTCCTTGAATTAGATGTTAGCTATAATTAGATTGCAAGCATTATAAATCACCAAAAATCGATGGCAGTAGTTGCTGTCATTCCTTTCATATCTTGAAAGCTCATTCAGTTCATATGCATAGGTTGCCTATGGGCTCCATATGTGTAACTTGTATTATAAGCCTACTACAGAGAACTTAAAAGTAAAGAAAATATTAATATAAATACATAAATTTTGGTCATAATTATGTGTTTTTAAATATTTCACGCTCATTCATTCACAATTTTAATGCATACAACTATACTGTAAGTTGTTCCAAAGTTTTAAAGAAAAGTACAGTAGTGGAAAGTCCTTTTCTGTGTGTAATTTTCCACGCAAAAGAAACATTAAGTATTGTTTAGATGAATGACCGCATATGTATAATTATAGTTCTATTATTAGAACTCAGATGACAAAAAAGGATCTGCAATTTGCAAATATGATGATGCTAGAATCCCATATTCATGTGGTACAGTGATTGAATGGTAAGCTTAATGCTTTCAGAATGCGTCTATGGGGTGTATACATTGCTTATGTTGTACTGTATTAAGGAATAGAGAAAATAGAATGGTTTTCTCTATGACTAAGGCAAGATACTTTATCTATCTACTTTGACTACAGTATCTCCTTCCCGACGAGGGTGCTATAGCCCCCTCAGCGCTACCACTGGTTAGTGTGTACCTGTTAATACTATATATAGTTTTTAATGCCAATTCACTGTTCCTAGCTACATTATTGTGGAATACTCCTCCAGATGTGTTCCAATGATGGGTAAACACGTGGAGAGCCTGCAATATGCTCTATTTAAAGACTGATTATTATTAAATCTACAAATATTTGTATATACTGTAAAATAAAATGTGAAATTTGTCACTTAGCTTTGAAAGAGTTCATAGTTCCATAAATATATGGCAAATTGATGGCTTATCTTTTAACTTTACTCTTGGGAATTACCTTTCACATTATTTAATGCATGTGTAATGCATTTATTTTACACCATCCTCACATTATTTAAGTCAGTTACTGCATGTTATTTTTTTTATTGTGTAAATAATATTGAAATGTATTTATCATTTTTGAGATTATTAAATGTTCAGAAATTGTTGCTACTAGAATTCAACATGATCATAATCATATCATCATCATCACAACTTACTGTAAATAAACTATATGAAAATTATCATTTTGTAATATAATATGTATATGAATGCCATTATTAATGTATGTAAGTAACACTGCAAAGGAAAGTTTACCAAATCACTGTAAACCATTTATTCACAGTTTGCCTCAGAAAAGCCAAATGTCATTAGAAATTGATTTCTGTTGTTATGGTGATGAATGCTTTTGTACTGTACTATGCTTGCTTTGTATTTTTGTTTTTTCTGTTCTTTTAGTATACCACTTAAATCTGTTGAATCCGAGCAAACAGCAGCAAGCAATCTGTATAATGCGTATGTTGCTATGCTTTAATTTATTTTCGTTCTTTTTAAAATCCATTTTCTCTTTCAATATTTATAATTTCATTCAGTTTCATTTAACATTTTCAGTTTCAACAAAACTGCTTTTGTACAGATTTGTAACTCAACATTTTGACTGCTTGCATATTTATTGCTTGCTTTATTTTCTTTTGATTGTTTAATTAACATTTTGTTTTCTAGATCTGAATATATTATTACTTTATAAAAAAACTGAAAGGTCCACTGATTAATCTCAGATAAGAATGTATAATACAATACTCCCAAGTATTGAAATGTACACCATCGTGTTGGGATTGCGTACATTTCAATACTTGGAGTATGTATTATACTTTTTTATATTACTTTATTGTATGAATAATGTTGTTGAATAAATAAGTGGTTTCAAACATTTTTTTTCTGTTTTGTACATTATCTTTGGCCAGGCTCTTGGGGTCCCCTTGGTTTACCTCCTCTGAGACTTCATGGATCCCTTTGTAGAACCACTACTGATGCTAATATTAAAGCATGTAAAGCCAAATAAAAAAAAAAAGTAGTTTCTCATCGTAATAATTTGAAAAAAGAGAATGAGTGCACTTTTTTTTTTACTCTGAGATGGGAAATCCAAGGTAGTCGATGGGAAACAGCTATTACTTTTTCACTTTTACCAAGTAGACACATTGAAAGCAAATAAGGGAAGCACTAGGCATGATTCATACCATGTGTATCCCCAACCATGAATGATCGAGAGAGGAATTTTACTGGAAAAAAAAAATTGGTAAGGCAAAGAAAATGGATGCGCGAGGGGACGAGAAACTAGTAATTTTTTTTATTTGGCCTAATTAAAAAAAAAAAAATTTTTTTATTCTATTTTTATTAAATGCTAATAACTTTCTTAGCAAGTAGTTTGTTTCATATATTAAACATAATGTCATTATAATTATTATTAAATGTTTATTGGCAATATTGAAATAACAACACAAAGATGAATAAATAAAATTTTTCCATTGGAATAGTAGGCCTACATAGCAATGGTTTCAAAGACACATAAAAATGATACAAGCATATGTTAATAAACACAGCATTGTAAACCATGATCTTAATGCTAATAGAAACATATGGTTGATTGGAGCACTATAAGTTTTGATTAATTAATAATTTTAATAATATGCTGTGACATTTAATTAATTGATATTGAGGTTAAAGGTTAACACTGTAAAGGTATTGACGGCTGTCAGCAGGTGCTTTAAATAATGGATTTCTACACACAATAGGAGGATAATTGTTAACAATTAACGGTATCAGAATTAGTCATATAACATTGGATACATGCAAGCTGGCAATTCAAAAAAATTAATCCGGAAATATAGATGATTGATACAGGGGCGGATTTAGGGGGGTGACCTGGCCCCCCCTTTTGGGAGGTAAAAAAAGAAAAAAAGAAAGAAAAAGAAAAAAATGACAGCCCACAAAGCCTCAAATGTTATTTTTGGGCGTCTAGAACGCAACAATTTCTCGGGGGAATGCCCCCGGACCCCCCAGGACATTGTTGTCTTGATCGGCCCAAATTTCGGGTCCCCCCCCCTTTTGGACATCTCTGGATCCGCCCCTGTTGATATATCAAATCTATGTTGAAGTGTATGTTCTAGCATGAGGAATTAAATAGTCCTAGATTCCTACAAAATACAAACTTAACATCTGTCCTGAATGGCTTTTATGCATTTTCACCTATACCCTGGAACAAACTTCCCTCTCCCATTCATTATTCTCCAACTTTTTCTCAATTCAAATCTCTTTGTCAAACTTGCATTTTTTCATAGTTCATGCTTTTTTAGCGCTTTGAGACTTCGGTAAAGAACGCTATATAAATGCTAAAATATTATATAGTTTTTTAGTCTTTTTTTTCAACACATGATTGTAATTTATGGTATTGAAAAACACATCCATGTGATTATTTTGTTTATCATCTTCATTTTTTAACATCAGTAAAGTTATCTTACACAACTCATCACTGTTCAATAAAAACAAAATTATTATTTGTATTCATTATGTATGTTGATCACTTATTTATTATTCATACTGCCAGTGATAGTTTTGATTTAATAAAGTTGTCCCCATATGGATTCAAATCCAATTACTGTTCAGTTGCTCTGCAAATAAATAAAGCGACGGAACTGTTATGTAATTATCTAATGGACTAGGGAAAATTTGTTTTTCTCAAATAACTATTTCTGTATGTAGGAGATGCTGTGCTTTAGTTACATATCTTTATATATCAAATACTGTTATACACCCACGTTGCTCACTGCTTTTCTCTCACCAGCTCATTCTGAAACAGTTTGAATAAGGTAACATTTTAAATGAGCATGCTGGGTGGAAGCATAAATTTGAATAAATTTGGGAATAATTCAGAATTTCTTATTTTTCTCTCATTAAATTGTTTGTATTAGCTGTGTATGGTTGTATGTGTTTGAACATAGATTAACTATTTATTACAAAATTTAATAATGAAATTATCTTTGAGGGAGAGATATAAATTTGAGCCAGTTGGTATTCTTAGCCAAAATATGTAGTTAACAATATTTTGGCAAAGTAGGGTTGAACAGAGTTGGATTTTCCTGGAATTCAATAAAATTGTAGTTTCTGCTTGTCTTGCATGTTCATTTTCCAATCTGTTTCAAAATTTTAAGAAAATTCTGAAAAGATGATTATCATTTTAATATTTCTTAGCAAAAGTCATAATTTACAGGTCCTGGGTCAAAATATACAAGCCCATTTGCCAAATTACTCATGGCAGAGACGAGTTCATAAAATGTGTTACCAACTTCTATACTATTAATATTTCATTAAGTTTTCTAATGGTATTTTTCTTGTTTTCTAATATTGTAATATATTGATGTGTTTACCATTCATTTCTATTTTATAGACTTTTGAATTCAAGTTCATATACAGTATCTATATTATTGTGTTGATAACTCAATCGTGTTTACTACACTCTCTGAGTGTAGGAGACTCATATGATGAAGTTGTGTCTATTTATAGATTTCTAATATTAATGTTGATACTGTATCATGTATATGACCACTAAGTATGTGTGGTGTAGGGCTTAGGGTATATGTGTGTTGGTATGTGAGTGTTTGTGTGTGTATTTGTCCTTTTTCTATATGTCATGGGATATATATGTATTGGTATTTTAATTGGGTTGACCTAATTTACATTATTTTCTTATTAACTGTAGTTCAAAATAAAATCATACTTAGTTGAGGTTCAAAACATCCAAGGCATTATGTTGGTTCTTAATTAGCATTCTTGAGTGTTGTTGCATCACTCTCTGCCCTTCCCACCCTCATCTTCAAACTCGATGATCTGGTGGATGTGGCCCACATAAAGAGTGCAAAATAATTAGCACTGACATTTTCCAAGCCATATAAAAAGTGTTGATTACAGAGCATGAGAGTTATATAATTTCGATTCTCTAGGCATCATAAGGAGTTTGAAATAATGAGCTCCCAACCCTCAGAGGGTTTATAGAGGATCAAATGTAATAAATGGTTAGGTCTCCATGTCCCAAGCCTTTTTAAAAGAGACTTGGTGTATTATAGAGCATTAAGTGTCCCGATGTTTAGCATATTTCGGTGGATCCAGCCATTTAATAAATATAGTGTTAATATTTAATAAATATAGTGTTTAAAATAAATGTCTGTTTGGGTATTGGAAATGCATATGAAATCAAAATATATGTCATTGATTTTCATTAGCTGTCACATACTCTTTCTGTTAGATGAGTATCAAAAAAATTAAATATAAATAATGTAATTTATTTATACATAAATTCTTTTCTGGAATGTTTTTGTCATGAATATGTAGATGGACAAGTATGTTCTTTGGGGATCACAGTAAAACATCTGAAGAAGATGACTCAGAACCACATTATGAAGATTATGCGGTGAGTCTATTTTTAGATTATTATATATTTCAATGGATTTTCAATTCCTCCATTTTAACACTACCTTGAACGTGGAGGATACCTTGAATACTTTATATTAGCACTATAAAATCCTCTACCGGTAATTATTATTAATGTATTATGTAGGTTTTTGTTATTGCTGTTTTTGTTGTTGTTTTTTTTTATGGTTTTTATTGTTTTTATTTTGTAATTAAATGTTACATCATCATTCATTATACTGTACTATTATTCGGCAATGACCTTGATAATTACACAATTATTTCTGTTTGTTTTTAAAGGGATTCTGTTCTTGGATTAGAGCAGTTTTCACCATCACGTAAGTATGTCCACTTAATTTGATAACTGAAAATAAATGCTGTCTGTGGTAAAATTCTAGAAACCATCAAAATATTTAATTAAAACATGGACTTGCTCAAACAATTATGAATGAATCAATTAAACTGCGAGTACTGTATATATCATTTTTTTCGAAGTGTACAGGTATTTGCTCTTCACATATTGTGCTTTAAGGCTGTTTACATTTTTATGTTCACATCAGTTCATCGTGTCCATTGTTGAAAGTTGTTTCTAAATGTTGAGCAGGCAACAGAATGATAAATGCCTTTATAAATGATGAATTAGCACTTTAAACATAGGCTAATATATTCCCATATCATGAATTAAATATTTTAACTGTTGCTCACTTGTATTAAGGTAATACTGAAATGATCTTTTGACATAAAATAATGAAAAATTTACATTATATTTTTATATACAAGATTTGTTGTCTAACAATAACATTTCACCAGCTGTATGGCATGTGCTTCTGTTTGTTAATTTTAATTTTTAATTTTTTCTCAGTGACAACCAGATTAGGAAAAAGTCAGGAGTAGATGCTATTCAGTATTTACAGTTTCAACGCTACCTTATTGGTCTTGTAGTGGTCATTTGCATCTTGTCCATTGGGGTCATTCTACCGGTCAACTTCAGCGGTGACCAAGAAGGAGGAAAACAAAATTTTGGCCATACCACTATCAGTAATCTACCAACAAGGTATAGTAATGGTAATATTTTATGTGGGGAGGTTAGGCAGGGTTGTAAGTGTTTAGTCAGGGGATTAACCATTATGTCCATTTGTGATATGTGTAATAGATGATTCAGTGACCAAGAGTATTGTTCATGTAGTTTCTGTGGGACAAGATCAATATAAAAGTATACATAAACAGATGAAATGTTGCGGTTTGAAAATAATGGTTCACTGATAACAGGAGAATTAAATTGTCGTTGCGGTTAAACTCTTGTCATGCTTGTTATTCCTATATATATGTATATATAAATAAATATGTGAACATTTTTCACTGATGATAGTAGTGGACCTACCGAAACGTGTCTGGTTTGCGGCCGTGAAGGCCAATGCATTAAATATGGGCACTAGCCTATAATGAAGTTTAAAGCTGTTGTGTTTTTTATAAATTGTGTATGCGTTCTGCTACTACATTGACCATTTAGAATTAAATTACAATGAAAGGCAATATGTTTGATAGTATTTAAACTCCTGTTAGCGTTGAGCCAGCCTAGAATTTGTAGTGCCACAGTGCACGTTACAGCAGAAACAGCTAGAATCATTTAAACTCAACATTTCCTTATGAAATTACAAGCGTTTAAACATACTGTATAGCTGTTTAAGGAACAATATTTGAGAAATCAGCCTTCAAAGTTTATGATTTTGGCATTTCTCAGGCAGAAGCCATCAACAAATTATTAAAAATTATTGATTTAATAACAGCATAGCATGATGTAGATATATAAAGGTTAGTTTAATGTAATAAACTAGATTTTTAAAAATTTGACATTCCAGCATTTTTGGCCATAATCTCTGAAAGTCGATTTGAGACGAGTGGCTTATTTGTCTTTGCCACATATGTATAGAATTGTTGCACCATGCATGCTTGTGTACCAAAGTTAGGTCATCAGACTATTTTGGTCTACAGTATTGTTTTTTTGCTATTATTTAAGTATCAAAAAGCAGTCTATTGAATGTTTTTTAACACTTTAAACCATAAGACTCTATGTATGTTTTTGTTCTTATTTGTTTATCACAAAGCAATTTATTGAATGTTTTAAATTATTAAACCAGAATTTTGATCATTTCCTTCAGCTCTGGTGCATTGTGGGTCCATACATTTTTTGCAATGATCTACTTTGTCATTGCTATAGTTGCACTACGACATTTCAAACAGCATCTACCACACCGAGAGGAGCCAAGTCATGTAAGTTAGCATCTGTGCTTATTACTAGCTGTCCCCACATGGTCATGTGACAATTCAATTGTACTACCTGGTACATTTTAATGGTCTGTGAGCGTGCTTATGTGTATATATGAGGCTTTATGCAACATCACAGTCTAAGATTCAAGAGCTCTACTTAATATCAAATCTAACCGTTTTTTCCGTGTAGATATCAAGAACCTTGTTTGTTATTGGGATACCATTGGAAAGGACGGAACCAGCTCTTATTCGGCAACATTTCCAGTACGTGTCAGGTTCTAAGTTTATTTCCACATAAAATAAGTTTAACATTAGTTAAGTGTTGTGAGATTTTTTGAAGATCTGATAGTGATATTTAAACTTGTGATGTATTGATACTGAAGATTATAATGAGAATGATGATATGGTTGGTGGTGATAGTAGAGGTGATGATAATGATGATTGTGAAGGTAAGGCTGTTAATGATGATTAAAATTATATAGTTGTTGAGAATGATGATAGTGATATACATAACAGAGCCTGATATACTGGCATTTAGTCAGAACCTTTCTTGTTAAAGTTCAATCATCCAAAAACCCTGATGATCATACATACTTGATTTATGATAGATATTGTATATTGTGTATTTCTAAGCTCTACGGTCCTTGAATTAGGCTTTAGAAAAATTAATATAGCTTATTACTGTTTTTATTAAAGTTTCTGATATTTAGAATGTCAGTTTGTAAATCCACCCCAGAATTTCTCCATTAAATTTCAGTAAAAGTATTAATATTTTCATTTAGACAGCATGCACAGTAATACAATCACATAATAATCAGGATTGGTGTTTAGTATACACATTTTTAATAGTGAGTGATGATTTAGGTCTTTGCTTTTATCTATTAGGGATGTCCTGAGAAATTCCAGCTTTTTCGTAAAATGAATGTCTATTGTTGTTTCTCTCCAGGGAAGCCTACCCTGACGTTGAAGTGACTGATGTACAGTTTGCATATGACATTGCTAGACTGAAGTACTTAGATCAAGCAAGGTAAATAAACTTGTTTTTGCAATACTGGACAGCAATTGACTGATAATCTATTTCTAGGGCATTTCAAAATACAAATTTAAATTGATAAACGAGGCAAATACATTATCATTCATTATCATCATTTTATCTAAAGTATGATCAGTATATCATTATTTCGACTTTTGAATCAAAAGCTGATGCTTATCCAGGGGCATAGGGTGGTTCGCATCTGGGTGGGAGCGAAATTTGTAAATGGGGAACTACAAAGGATCAGTGGGGTAACAAAGGGAGCCGAAGGCCCTGATGCAGGCGCTGGGGGCTGCTTCGATGTTTTTAGCGTTTTAGGATCTTTTTAATGTCTCTTTTGGCACAATTGAGTTCTTAATTTTGTATCGTGATTTGCATAAGCAAATTATAAGCATAATATATTGTAATTAAGATAATACTTAGTTCATCTGTAACTTAAGTTTTTGTTACACATTATTTCATTTTTTATTATATTATATAAAACAAATTATTAAATAAAGTTTAAAACGGTTAATCAAAAGAAGAACAAAAAATAATTTTCTAATTATTACTGTTGCATGTGTTATTGGTATTATTGAAAAGATTACACAGTAATTAACAAAATAATAATGTCGGCATCATTTGCTGTATTTTAAAAATATTGAAACCATTTATTCACATTAGGCTGTTACTTTTACCCAGTACTATATGGATGAATGTTGTTTTTTTTTTGTTTTTTTTTGCTCAGACAGAGTTTGGGGCAAATTTGATAATTCCAATAATCTACCCATCCATATTTTTCCCAAATAAGTGCTTTTTATCTCATTAACCAAGTTTTTTGTCCAAGTTTAAGAGTAATAATAAGAGCGTGATAACGTTTCTAGTGTATATTCGTCTAGTGCCCGGTATTCAACCTAGGCCCGCGAGCCAAGTCCAGCCCGCCAAAAATTAGATCTGGCCTTCTACATTGCTCAAAAATAAATTATTTTTCTAGTCGATTTTCAGTTATTGTTGCAAAAAAATTTGCTAAAGAAGTGGAGATGGCATTCAAATGAGTTCATATGAGTGACAATGCGTTATTTAATCTCAATTCTAGGAATACAGCAAAATGTTAGAATTCATAGGAATAATGACCCAAGCATTTTTAAATAAATAGCAATGTCACCTACTCTGACAGTCTTAACAAGTGTCATAGCTTTTTCTGAGTATTTAACTATATCTGGTGGCGTTGAGTACTAATTGACATGGGGAAAGTGCGAATGATGGGAAGTAAATAACACTCATGCTTTGAAAACATATTTTTAACTATAATAGGGCCAATTCCGTGCATCTGATATGTTTATTTTAAAAATTGTTTACCTCAGCCCCAAACATGGTGGGACTGAGGTCGGGATATTTCTAATGGTACAGGGACGTACACAGCGGCTCCCCCCCCCCCCCCTTTGTACACAGTGTTAAAATTTTAAAGCTTGCCCTTTCTCGCCAATACTAATTCTCCCCAGGGATCACTCAAAATGAATACTTCTGACAGCTGATGAGGCGAGAATGCATAAATTTGCTTTTAGGATGTGATCTGGTTTTACATGCCTTTTTTTGTGATTAGGACTATTTTGGATAAAGAATGTATTGAGCAGTGGTGGATTCAAGGCCCCTCCCCCTAATTTTTTAATGGAAAAGAAAAAGAAAAATATAGGCCCTTTATCCAAATTTAAGTCTGAGAGTGTAATTTCCAGCCATCTAGAGGTACCCTAATCTTAAATTTTCTTACCTCAGCCCCAACCATGGTGGGGATGAGGTGGGCGGTTCCTCAATCTGTAAATGTCCCTCCATGGGTCACCTGTCTATTGAATTCCTGGATCCACCACTGTTGAGTTTTATATAATTATGGTTAGAGTAGCTTAGCTCAGTCGGCTAATCTGGTGGTAGCCGCTGTGTGTGCGTTGAACCGTGGAGATCTCTAGGTCCCCAGTTCAATTCCCATTGCTGCCTCTCCTTGTGTTTCAGCTAGAGGGCTGAAATACAAGTTACAATAGCGCACCGTCTTTCGGATGAGACGTTCAAGCCGTTGGTCCTGTGTGCATTATGGCCCATGTGCACGTTAAAGAACGCAGTACACTCTTCGGAAAAGAGATGGGGATTGTCTCCCGGTGTACTGCCCAATCACCACCAGAAGGACCCGACTGGAAAGTCTTCTTCTAGACTTTCGTGGGCTATTATTGGTGTTTACACCAAATAAATCCAATCCAATCCGGTTAGGCTTACTAATATTATTTATGACGCATTTATTGCAATTTTCACTTTATCATCTCAAAACAGTCCAAAAAACTTCAGAGCGTGCTGCTTTCCAGGGCAACGTACCTCGCATAATGGCTTCCCCCCTTTCAAAATCCTGGCTACGTCCCTGTAATGGTAGAGTAGAACTGGGGGTGCAAGTTTGTCCACCCCTTCTCTATTCGATATTCCACTGCATAACACCGTCTAAACAAGGCCTATTACGGTTGATGTTAAGGTACCATCAATCTTATGCCAGGCTCAGGCCTATACTGTTATAGGCATATATACAGACTTGTAGGCCTGTGAAAGGGAATGGGTGGGGCTGTCATTGGAGCTGACCACCACCTTAAAAAGGTTGAATACCTAGGGCATAGTGGAACGAAACTCCAAAGAAACCATGGCCGTAGGAAAACGAGGGCACATTAGCGCCGGAATGCGCCTACACTGTATTTATTTCGAATTACTGTAGTGCTTTTCACATTTGTGATAAAAAATTAGTTTTTATTTTGTAGTACGATTAGGCACATCAAAGGTGTATATGTATAATTTAAATGGCTTAATCGAGCCCTACTTGCTGCCCTGCAAATTTTCCATTGTAGTATCAGACAGGCTTAGGCCTACTCCAGCGGAACTTTTTTGCTTTGGAGGGAGAGCGGCCGCACCACTCACACTCCCCCCCCCCCCCCACCACAGCCTACGCCCCTGGCTTATCCTATTTTAAAATGTTTTGCATTTCAAACAGGAAAGATGCACAGGCAAATCGTATTGCTTGCGAATCCATGAAGCAGACGACTGGTATTTCCCCCACACTACGCCCTGGATCGTGTGGACAAATTGGTTGCCATGATTGCTGCGGTGGGCCTAAGGTAGACTAATGCTATTGTTTTTAATAATTCATTTGATTTACTTATGCAACATTATTACAAATTTATATATATAAGATATCTATAAGCTTTCTAGCTTAACCATAGCTCCACTATGTGTGAGCATTTCAGTCAGTTGTGTAAAATAGGTGCCCTGGAGTTAGACCTGCGTGTATGCTTATAGGTATGTCGTCTAAAGGTATGATATTCGCTTTGATAGCGAGAGGTTGCAGGTTTGAAACCCACCAGAGACAATTTTTTCAATACAACTAATACAAGGAACTTTTTGTTAAGGCCTACCTGTATGCTTCATATGATTAAAACATCATATTCCTATTTGAGCATTGTTATTATTATTATTTATCTATTTGTTAAAAAAATGATATATTAGATATAAAAAACATCATGAAGATTAAGCAGTTAAAGTACATTAGGTATCAGACAGCTAAAGACACTTGAAATGCAATATCACTTATTCATGAAATGAAGAGAGCTTGAATGTGTGTGATTGCTACGCAGCTATTAAACATCTGAGTATTCATTACCTTTGCACAGTATTAATTAAGGCATAAATGATGACTGTGGCATGTGTAACAATGGTACATGCAAATTAAGGCATAAATGATGACTGTGGCATGTGTAACAATGGTACATGCAAATTAAGGCATAAATGATGACTGTGGCATGTGTAACAATGGTACATGCAAATTAAGGCATAAATGATGACTGTGGCATGTGTAACAATGGTACATGCAAATTAAGGCATAAATGATGACTGTGGCATGTGTAACAATGGTACATGCAAATTAAGGCATAAATGATGACTGTGGCATGTGTAACAATGGTACATGCAAATTAAGGCATAAATGATGACTGTGGCATGTGTAACAATGGTACATGCAAATTAAGGCATAAATGATGACTGTGGCATGTGTAACAATGGTACATGCAAATTAAGGCATAAATGATGACTGTGGCATGTGTAACAATGGTACATGCAAATTAAGGCATAAATGATGACTGTGGCATGTGTAACAATGGTACATGCAAATTAAGGCATAAATGATGACTGTGGCATGTGTAACAATGGTACATGCAAATTAAGGCATAAATGATGACTGTGGCATGTGTAACAATGGTACATGCAAATTAAGGCATAAATGATGACTACGGCATGTGTAACAATGGTACATGCAAATTAAGGCATACATGATGACTGCGGCATGTGTAACAATGGTACATACATTAAGACATACATGATCATTCGCCAATGGTTCCGGTGGTGGAATAAGTCTTATTTATTTATTTATTTTTTTTTTAATTTATTCACGGTATAAAAATATAACACCAAAACAGGCAGCCCGAAGGCTGAAATCGTTGGTTCTCGGATAATGACTTTAAACCGTAGGCCCAGTGTACGCATTTGTCTCGTGTGCACTTTAAAGAACCCAGTACATTCTTCGAGAAGAGTAGGGGGTTACCCCGGTGTGTTGGTCCATTCAGTGCCCTGTCCCCTGCGGATATGCCACATAGGATAGTGGCATATCTTTGGCGCTCTTGCCTAAAGAAATGAAATGGTACATGCAAATTAAGGCATAAATGATGACTGCGGCATGTGTAACAATGGTACATGCAAATTAAGGCATACATGATGACTGCGGCATGTATAATGATCAATGCAACAAGTAGTAAAGATAATGCTAAAAGTTTAATGTAACAATAGAATTGATTAACATGCTATTTCACACAAAAAATCAATAAAATGGAAATTTGCTTAATGAAATTAATGCAAAATGCAGTTTTAGTAAAGCTAGTTAAGTGAACATGCAATCTATGCAAGCATAATGACTAAAGCATGCATAAAATGATGATCAATACAACAGGCAGTTTAGAAGCTAATTGTTAAAATAAATGTAACATAGCAATTCATTTAAAATGCTTATTAATCATTGTTAAGCACTTTGGGGCTTTTATTAGTGTAAGGCGCTATATAAATCTATATTATTATTATTATTATTCAGCAAGTTAAAATTGCTGTAGATAATACAGCAAGGTCTGTTGTCTTTATTAGGATATGTAAATTATATGTAAAGTATATGTAAAATATATTTAAATCTCTGATAGGATTGTCACTGACTATGCCACATTGAAGACTGGTCCGCCAACAGTGTCCAGTGTAAGTCGTACCGTACACAGCACCACGTGGGACGTGGACTATGCGCCATGGCCTGATGACATCATTTGGTAGGTTAAGCCCTCGTAATAAGATGATGATGATAATAGAGAAACCAATGACAGTGAAAAGTATGAACCAGAGAAGATGATATAGATGATGATATTGAAGTTGATGATGTCAGTGATAATGATGGATGATAATGATGATAAGTATGATGGTGTATTGATTATCATGATAGTAAAGATGATGATTGTGATAATTATGAAGATAGTGAAGATGATGATTTTGATAGTGAAGATGATGATGAGAGTGAAGATGATGATTATTACGATATTGAAGATAAGGATTATGACAGTGATTTATGGTTTTAGTGAAGATGACAGTGATGATGATAATGTTATTGGAGATTATAATGATGATAAGATGGTAATGATATTGATGATGATTATGGTAGTGAATGAAGGTGATTGGTAGTGAAGATGATGATAATAGAGTATGGTTTAATATCATAAATCTAAAATAAAACATAACCAAAACATGTTATCATTGCCAGGGAGAGCCTTTCCGTAAGCACGTTAAAATGGTGGATCAGCGTTATCATAGTGAATCTATGTAAGTATAGTAATCTATGTTATAATTAATTCTTTAAAATAATGTGTCTGATGTAGCACCTGTATTAATATGCTAATCCTATATGGTCATGTGACTTAATTGATTGTCATTATTAAAGTACTATATGCTATTTTGTAGCATACAGTTAATTTCAGCAGGAGTAGTAGCTTTAATCCTTGCCCAGACTATCACAAACACATGTGACATGCCTAAATATGGTCATGATGACATTACACCATGACCATATATAGGCACATCATGACTAAATATGGTCTCTATGACATTACACCATGACCATATACTGTATAGGCACATCATGACTAAATATGGGCATACAAAAGTTGATAATCTGGACAGAGCTTCATGGTGTTCATAAATAATATTTATGTATTTGTTTATATTCACAGTTTTATTTCTGGTCCTGTTTTTCCTGACCACCCCATCAGTTATACTAACAAGTCTTGACAGTACCAATTATCAAAATGCTATTGACAATCTGAATGTAAGTCAAATGCTTGTTTGCATATTTCTAATTACACTAATTACTGTTGTTGTTAGCATTGGTAGCAACAATAGAACTGTATATCCTTATCATTTTAATAACGTTATCTCATTTTCTTTTTTAAAGTCAGCAGTGATCTCTCAGTTCTTGCCGACCTTGCTGTTGTTGATGTTCGCCGCTCTCCTGCCACAGCTTGTCATCTATTCCAGCTACTATTTTGAGTACCATTGGACGCGTACTACTCTCAATCATGTTATCATGCGCAAGACATATGTCTTTCTAATGTTGATGCTGCTAATTCTCCCCTCCCTAGGTCTGGCAAGGTATACTAAACTTATATTTCTTAATGTGTATTAATATTGCTAAATGTATTATGTTCATATATCCCAGGGATTACAAACTTTAGGACCATGGGGCAGGCTGACATAATGTTGTACTTCCAAACAATTCTTCGTTATGAAAATCATCATAATATCTTACCGTAAGCCTATATGGTTAGAGTTAGTTTATACACTTATTTAATGGTACTTTTTTATCAATTATGATAGACCTTGTTTTATATATATGAATATATGTATATATTTCTTGATACTGTAATTAAACTTCATAAGATTTTGATTTAAATGTATTTGTCCACATTGAAATACATTTATTTGAATATTTTGTCATTTCATTAAAACTTTTTATTGGTAAAACAGAACATAGATTTTATAAAAGCAGTGCAAAAAAGAGAAAAGTACAGTCTTGGACTAAAGCTTTCATTATGTAAAGATGAAAAATACAAAGCAAAGCCAAAAAGACAGTAAACATTATTTCAATTGAAGTCTGTACTTTTGTGTATTATTTTTATATTTTCAGTGCTCAGGCCTTGTTTGAATACACTCTGAGTGACAAGGAAAATATCAAAATGAGATGGGGGTAAGTTGGTGAAGAATTTCTATATTTGTTTACATCATTAAAATATCAAAATGAGATGGGGTTAAGTTGGTGAAGAATGTTGATATTTGTTTACATCATTACTATAATAATCATCTTCTTCACTTCGCATGTATGATGATAAAGATATTAATAATAATCAGCTCATTTTCTGTGACGGTCTTTCTACTGGGAATTGAATTCAACTTACCAATAGAGCACTTGAATCAGTTGGGCAATTAAATCTGTAGTGAAAACCTCCGCTTTGATTCGGACTTCAATAAGTTCATATTTTATCTCTCTCTGCTTATAAATTATTATTTGTCTTCGTACTTTATTTTCTTTTGGAATATTTTGGAATTGATAAATATGTACATCTTATGCATTATGCATAGTCAATTGAATGATATGCAAGAAAAATGTTGTATGCATATAAGGAAGATGATGACATGCCTTTTCCACCTTTTCATCTTTGTCTTAGGTGCATGTTCCTTCCAGACAACGGTGCATTCTTTGTCAACTATATCATCACTTCAGCTTTTATTGGAACTGCTCTTGAGTTGATTCGATTCCCTGAACTGTTCCTCTACATCATTACAATGATTTGGACACGATCGGAAGCAGAGAAAATCACTGCTAGAAAGGTAAGCTGATCCATGTATAGTTCAAAATGCTTTAAAAGATGGAAACATTCATAATAAATATAATAATATAAAATATTTTGTGAATACTTACCTGGATTAACTGAAATATTCCCAGTTTTTATTTGCGAATCTTACCCAAAAAAATAATGGTATCAATCATTCCAGTATCCTTTTTCAGTAACAGTCACCTTTTTAGTTTAGTTAGAGATTGAAACCCCGACCTTGAGGTTTGGAAACCAAACCGTTCCCGCTCCGCCTAACTGGTTACAGTGTAGGGAATTGAATATCCATTGTTATTTCCTGATCTATTAAACTTATTATTGCTGTTGTTGGTTGCCTGTGCTACTGCTGTTATTATTGTTATAAACACTACATTTTACTGAATTATTTTTTTATATTAAAAAAAATGTACATACATGGCACAATTGTCTTTTATGTTTTTTCTTTCTTTACAGAAACTAGCCTATGAATTTCAATATGGTGTGAATTATGCCTGGATGCTAACGCTGTTTAGTATAGTATTTGCCTACAGTATTACCTGCCCACTTATTGTACCTTTTGGTAAAAAAAATACATATTTTACAATTAAAAGTATTTGATTGAATTAAAAAGTGGAAGAATTAAATTGACCTACATAATGCATTTAACCATCATATTTTTTTAAAAATCTGGATTATTCTTTTTATGAACACCTGACTTATTTTCATAGGTATGGTATATTTCATCTTCAAACATATGGTGGATCGTTACAATATTTATTTTGCGTATGCACCCTCTAGAATTGATAAAGGAATCCACGATAGTGCTGTCAACTTTGTAGTCATTTCTGGAATTATCCTGCAACTTTCTATACTGTTTTTCTCTGTGCTAAGATTGGGTTAGTATTAATATTAAAGCTTTTGTTATTATTAACGTTATGTCATTAGTTTTATTGTTATCTCATTGATTTTGTTTTTAATGTTATGTCACTAATGTTACTATTGTTTTGTCATTATTCTTGTTATGTCGTTAATTAATGTTATTGTTATGTCATTAATGTTGTTCATTTTATGATGCTTTGTTAAAACTGAAAATAGAAAATTGATGGATACAATTTTTTTTAAAATCTTGCATATAGGCTCAGTTGACCCACACTCTATTGTCTCCGCCATCTTCCTTGTCATTTGTATTGGATTTTATGTGGCTAAATTTTGCTTTCGTCTATGGACTGGTTACATTCCTCCAAGTTATGAGGAATTTTCTAATGTTGAAGAGCCAACTGCAAGCAAAGGAGCAGAGCTGAAGGTAGGGCAGTCATAGTTTAACATCTATGTATTGTTGTGTTAACTTGATTCACCAATGTATGTATAATTACTTCATTAGAAGGTAGGGCAGTCATAGTTTAACATCTATGTATTGTTGTGTTAACTTCACCAATGTATGTATAATTACTTCATTAGAAGGTAGGGCAGTCATAGTTTAACATCTATGTATTGTTGTGTTAACTTGATTCACCAATGTATGTATAATTACTTCATTAGAGTCTTGCCATCCAAAACCAGCGTAGCATCACTAAAATTTTAAACTGAGTAATTAGCATAAGAATGTAGCTGTATTGTATACTTTTGTACATAGAAGCTATAATACTTTTACTCATAACTTTGTCGTAAGTTGATTCCAGTAAATTTGGAATCAAATCAAATCCAGTTTTTGGTTTCTTGCTTTGGCCACTAATGCTGGTTTTTGCATGGCAAGTCCCATTGTTGTTGTATTTGTGATGATTGTTTTCTGGATGATCATTTTTAACTCTACTTCCAGAATTTTGTCCCCGATGTACTGATGAAGGAGGGGGATGTTGGTGCTGATGTTGAGCAAACATCTTCTCTACCACGACATGCCTATGGTACCATGACAACAGGAGCAGAGGTGGACAACAGAGCAGCAGCAGCCGATCCTAGTAACAATACTGACCTTAATAATTATCAGTCATAATCAGGAATTATTTTATTTACATAATTTGTGTAATTTGTTGATGTTTTCTTGCTGATTTATCAAACTACAATATTTTTATTTTGCAAATGCTTAATATTTATGTAATATATGTGTTTCTAATTAATTTGTGAGAGTTTTAAAATATATAAATTGTTTTTTCTTAGAGAAGAGAATCCATTTTAGTGCAATTCAATAAATAAATTTCTATATTACTAAAGTATACCCATAATTTATTGGTATAAATTTTATTAACAATTTCTATTCATTTTCAATTCAAAATGATACCTGTAGAATTATATAAATATAGAAAATATAGAAATATAATGTAATAATTATACTAAAAGTATTAGTGTGTCAGATTGTACTGTATGCATTGTATATTTGAATGTATGTTTTAAATTTATAAGTAATAATATATGAATTACAATTTTAACTCAAAAATAGATGACTTAATGAAAATCTTATGCTGATTGTTATAATAATTAGAATCTATATACTGTAGTTAGTAATTATTAAAGTCTATACTGCTCTTATTGCAGCATTATTATTATAATAATTATTATTTAATAATTATTAAAGTCTATACTGCTCTTATTGTACTATTCAACTTAAAAATAAGCTTAGTATTTATACTTTGTATATTTAATGAGTTTATTTGCTTTTAATTGAAGTTAAGCCCTGTCCAGACTTTTCAAATTTTATTTGATTAAAAACTGTTGAATGCCCATATATAGTCATGATGTGCCCATATACAGTCATGATGTGCCCATATATAGTCATGTTGACATGAGTCATGTCACATGTTTTGGTTAAATAAAATTTTATAGTGTGGACATGTCTTAAGAAGATGTTACTTTCCTTTCCAGACTTTAAAATTCCTATTTTTACAAGGACCTATAATTTAACAATTAAAAATTATCTAAAAGAATTAGTATCAGAGGTGGATCCAGAAATTTTCTAATTGGGTGGGGGAAGGGGGCATCAAGTTATTAGAATAGAGATAAGGGGTGTGCTGCTAGCAGCATTCGCATATAACAAAGTGACTGGAACCCCTAATGAAACATTTTATATTTGTATTCTATTTTTTTCTTATTTCAATAAATGTCATTGGTACGCATCAAAATTATCAATTGTGACAAAACGGGAGGTGGCCAAATCCCCTTTGGATCTGCTTATGAGTAAGTTCTTATAGAAAACAAATTGTTTTCAATCTCTACCTAATGGGAAATTGACAATTTACTATACAATTCAATGTTTCACTTGAAATTTCTGTTTTTATAGAATTTTGACAGAAAAAGGGTGGTGTTTTTATGGTTTAATCACCAGATATTATATTTACAAACAAGTTAAGGTAATAATTTTATTAACACAAGTATAAACTTGCTTTCATAAAACATTACTTTCATTGTTATAGTTTATGTTTCATGTATTAAATTTCTGTATTTTGTGTTGATGTATACTGTACACCATAATATTGGTTGCCAATACTGTATATCAACAAATATGTAACAAGAAAAACAAATTCCATGGCATTGCTATGATAATAAGAATATATGTATGTACTTAAAACTGAAATGAGAAGGAACATATTATTTTGCAAAATGCTATTCGGATATTTTCATTATCATTTCTGTTTATTTCCCAAGTTTATTGTTGGATATTCATGGACTATAGTCACTAATTCAATTCATATTTCAGTATTATGTAACAGAAATTGATCAGTATTAGTTTTAGATATCATTATTGTTAATGTTTTGTGTACCCTGCTATTGCTTATTAGACAAAAATTATGAGTTTATTATACAGAAACATTCTCATCTACTGACACAGTTGCATCTGTGATTGATGTATATGGTGGTGGGCCCTCTTCGTACGCCGTGTACGGAGGCGGATTGTCTCGCTGAATGCCTTGTTCATGGAATTTACCGTGAAGCTGTTGATCAATTTGTGTTGGATAAGTCGGTTGGAATTGGCATCCTTGACTTTTCCACGTCTGCGGCTGACCTATCGACACAAAATGGCAGATAACGCATTAAAATGCTAAATGGTTTGCAATTTGATTTGGATATTATCCTGTGTCAGAATAAGATGTATAAAAAGTTAAGGTGGAGCCAAAGACGCTCAAGGCTCAGGATACTTTAACGTATTCTTAAGGTAAATAAATCAATTATATTCACAAAAGCTCTACTCACCGGTTTTTGTTCGATTAACACATCGACATTTGTACCGTCTGAAGACCGCAAAGAGTACGATGCCGGTGATGAACAGAAGGGATGGACATACAATTGCAAATATAATACCGATGCTGAAATATTATTTTTAACGATTTTTATTTGTATTTATTTATTTAAAAATATTTTTATACAGGATAAAATGATCCGAGATTAATTATTTTACAATATGTAACAGAAAGAAAAAGATTTATGAAACCAAAAAAAAACACAGTTTTGTTTCTCTTTCGTGGGGTGAGTCTGACCCAACTGTATTTGATTTTTATTTATACAGTAAAATATGAAATAAAAATAAGAGTAAATGATAAACTAAACAACCTTGGCATTTGGCTGTATCCCTATAATATGTGTGTTAGTGTTTATAATACCGATGTTGAAATATTGTTTTTTACTTTTGGGAGCTAGGTCACAAAAAAAAACCAAAAAAACAAAAACAAAAACAAAAAAAAAGAAAGAAAAAGAAATAAATGATAGCCTAGAACGCCTCAAATGTTACTTATGGGTGTCTAGAACACAAAAATTTCGCGGGGGCATGCCAACTGTTAACCTACCTAACACTTATACCGCCAAAGCAAGAAATCACTTCTGACTCTTGACAACAGGTGCTGAGTGTAAATTTAGAACACTGTCTTAAGCTTCCGTTATTAGGATTGGCTGAAAAATAGTATAAGGTTTAGTGATATCATCAACGATCTAGGTCAGTTTGCCGAATCAAATTCGCCGAATGACTGACTCAATGACTTTTCCCTTCAAAACCCGGTTTTACAATGCAACATATATTTTTAGTTGTTTCCAAAAAAGTCCAAATAGCCCACCAGGTCGGCGCGCCAGTAATCTAATTGCTACGTAATACGTAATACAGTCAAATTAGTACCGGGTAATAATGTTTGCATTGTGGCTAAAAGTCATAAAGAAACACAACACTTACCAGGAGTATTTTCAGTGATGTTCCACGTTTCACAGCAGTAACGACACCATGTCCCTGCTGCTACACATGGATACCCATCTTGACAGTGTATGTTTATTGTATCTGTAGCTGGAACATTGAACATTATTGAAAAAAATAGTAAGATACTACAATTTGAGATACAGCAATTTGGTATACAGCAATATGGCAATCTGCCTAATTGAATTCGGAAACCACCATCATCCTCATAATCACTACCACCATCATCCTCATAATCACTACCACCATCATCCCCACCACCGCTACCATTATCATATGATCATCATCCTCATCATTGTTGCTGTCGTAGACATTGTGGTCGTCAGCAGCAATGTTTTCATTTCTATATTATTATTGTGTTATTATTTTATTAAAAATAAAGACGTAAAAAATATGAAATTACTTGTAACTGGAGAGCTTGTGTCGTATGTGTTATTATATATGAACTCATTATCAGAACAGCAATAATAATCAGATTCGTTGTTATGACAACAGTTGAATAAAGGTTGAGCGCAACGGATACCATTACTGCAAGTATTGACTAAAGAAAAAATATGGCAAACTGAAGTTATTCAATTTTTTTAAAATAAATACATCCTTATTATTACTTTATTGGTAAACGTCGGTCAACACATTCAATGCGCAAATGACATCCGTTCCAATGGTGACTGTCCGTAATTGACCACCAGTGCGAATAAAATCTGTACTGTGGTGATGATGAGGGTGGATTTAAGGAAGCGGGTGGGCCCAGACCAGGGAGTAATTGTTATAGTGACTATAACAACTCCCTGCCCAGACTAACAAAAACTCTTATTGCTCGGAATACCAGCAGGCATCACTCCCTTCCCAGACTAAAATTCTGTAAATTGAATATATCAGATACGGTAATGTACGGAAAATGGATAATAAACAGGATACAAACAAGAACCCTTGAATTTACTTACATGCATCCACCGAAAGGACAACAAACATGGTGGTAACCAAAATCCGCAAATGTTTCGCCATGTTTGCTTTATTACATGCCATATAATAATACTCTAACCCTACTCAAATGATTTGAATATTGTAGTTCAAACATTATACTTCTTCACTCAGCCTAATAATCCTTTTGTGAAATTAAAAACGCCCTCATACGTAACATTATTATCAGCCTTTGTGCTAGAAGATGAGTCACTGAGGCCTACTTATGATATACTCTTGCAATAAGAAATTGTAACACGGAAACAGCAGCAGCGTTCACACATGGCATGCTCACACACGATTATTCTTTACTTCCCAACTCCCTCACCCCTCCTCCACACCCCCAAAAAAGGAAAAAAAAAATAAAAAAACAGTCGCATACAGAACACAAAGAGTTTATGGGAACAAAAACGAAATTACGCTATCAAAAAGTCTGTAACAAAAATTGATCAGAAACTAATAATTTTAACCAGCGGTGGCGCCATGTGTGAGGAGGATGGGCATTCCCCGCCGGACAGGCCTCCTCCCCCACTCCCGTCGTGATCGAGTCTTAGGTAAATTATAGAAATTGCTACGCGGACGGATGTGATATAAAATTGCGTGGTGGCAATTTGAGATTCCAACTATCCAAAAAATCATCTCTTCGACTTACGATAAGGCACGTTAATCTCACTTCACCATTCATTTGAGGGAGTTTTAGGAATAAAAAAAAAGGAACAATTAAAGGAACAAAGAGACAAACGGAATACATACAAGGGGAAAAAGCAGAAGTACAGAGAAGAAAGAACAGAAGAAAAAGACACTGAAAGGAAACTTCAAATGGAAAGGTGACTTTTATATCTCATTTTATTAATTCAGTTCCTTCTTTAGGCCTAGGGCCTACTGTATTCTGTACGGAAGTTTGAGTTAAAAGTTTTAGTGCTTTCTTTTTTGTAGTTTGTTTATTTTGTACTATCCTAATTATTGTACTAGGTCGCGCCGCTCCGGAGGGATTGGCTGGCCATTTTGTTTGGCATTCGCTTTTATTCGAGGCATCATTTCCTATGATGCTTGATGAGGGCGGGGCGATGGATGGGGTGGCCTTTTCAATTATTTGAGTGTCATTTATTCTATTTGTTCTTAAAATCAGTGTAGGCATCCTAACCTAATTATTTTTTACCTTGTTAAAGTTAGGCTATCTTTTGCCGTCTCCGATCATCCTCTCAAATCCCTCTTTCTGTCTCCAAATGCCGTACCAAAACGGGTGGCGTCAGCGGGGGTGGTGACCGGGGGACAGGGCCCTCCGTCGGGGAGAAAAAGCACAATTCGTCGGGGAGAAAAAATATTATATGTATTTTTTACATATTATTAGACTCAGATTAAATAAGCCTTTGAAACCCCTAAATTGTCGAAATTTTTGGAGGTTTCCCCCCAGGACCACTTCCCGAACCTTCTAATCAAAGCTCGACCACGCCCACTTTGCTTTCGTCGGGGAAATCTGACAC